AAGTATGATGTTTCCTTATTAAAATGGGAATCTGTCTACCACACGACCCAGAAATTCCACTCTTAGGCATATACTCAAGAAGGATGTCTGTTTCACTATGTTCATAGCAGCATTATTTTTAATAGCTAGATCCTGGAATCAACCTAGATGCTCCACAACTGAAGAGTGGATATAGAAAATGTGGTACATTTACACAATGGAGTACTACACAGTGGAAAAAAGCAATGGAATCTTGAAATTTGCAGACAAACAGATGGCACCAGAAGAAACCATCCTGAGTGAGGTAACCCAGTCACAAAAAGACAAACATGGTATGTACTCACTCATATATGGATTTTAGACATGTATCAGGGGAGTGAGTCTGGGAAACAGTGAGGTTTTCAAGAGATATGCATTGTACCCCAGAGAAGTGGAAAGAGGCAAGATCTCCTGAGCAGATTAGGAACATGTGGGAAGAGGAGAGGGAACCCAGAAAAAGAGAGGGGGCTAGAGGAGGGTAGAAGAAGACATGGGGGATTAGGAAGGTTGAGTTGAGGTAAGAATAGAGGAGATCATAATGAGAGATCCCATAATAGTAGGAGTCATTATAGCTTTGAGGAGAGAGCTGACACTAGTGAGATTTCCAGAGATCTACAGGGATAACACCAACTGGAAAACTAAGTAATAGCGGAGAGATTACTTTGATAGCCACTACCTGATGATAAGGTTGATGACTACCTTATATGACATCCTAGAACCTTCATCCAGTGACTGATAGAAGCAGAGACAGATACTCACAGCTAAACACTGAACCGACCCCCTGGGACACAGTGACAGAGATGGTGAAGTGATGAGTAAAGGGGTCAAGACCATGCTAGTGAAACCCACAGAGACAACTGACTGGACAAGGGGGGAGCTCTTGAACCCCAGACTGATGGCTAAGGGGCCAACAGGGCACTGACCCAATCTCCATAAATGTATAAGTGAGGAGGCCTCAGAAATCTCTGGGGCCTTGGGTAGTAGATTAGTGTTCACCATGGTATACAAATGAACTTTGGGAGCCCACTCCACATGGAGGGATGCTCTCTCAGCCTGGAAACAAGGGGAAGGGCCTAGGTCCTGCCCTGGATGAAATGACAGACTCTGGAGATCCCTCCAAGGAGGGTCTCATCCTCCCTGGGGAATAATGTAGGGACTGGGCTGGGATGGGGGGGGTGGGGTGGGACTGGTGGAGGGAGCTGGGATTGACATTTGAAGTATGCATGTTTCTAATTTAACTTAAAAAACAAAAATAAATATTCCTATTTAAAAAAAAGAAAAGAAACAATCCTGACTGAGGCAATCCAAACACAGAAAGAAAAGCACTGTATGTACTCATTCATAAGTGGATATTAGACATAGAGCAAAGGATAACCAGCCTACAATCCATAACCCCAGAGATGCTAGGAAGCAAGGAGTACCCTAAGAGAGACATATATCAACACATGGATAAGAGGAAAGAGACAAGATCTCCTAAGCAATCTGGGAGCACGGGACCGAGGGAGGGGGGAGTTAGGAGGAAGGGGGCAGAGGAGAACATAAGGGATGAGGAAGATGGAGGGGAGGGAAAAATAGAGAAAGAAAGCAAGAAAAGAGATACCTGAATAGAGGGAGCCATTATAGGTTTGAAGAGAAATCTGGCAGTAGGGAAATGTCCAGGGATCCACAAGGATGACCCTAATTAAGAAACTAAGCATTAGTGGAAAGGCTACCTTAAATGCCCTTCCTCTATATGAGATTGATGACTACCTTAAATGCCATCCTAGAGTCTTCATCCACTAGCTGATGGAAGCAGAAGCAGAGATCCACAGCTAAACACTAAGATGAACTCTGGAATCAAGTTGTAGAGAGGGAGGAGTGATGAGCAAAGGGGCCAAGACCATGCTGGGGAAACCCACAGAAACAGGTGTCCTGAGCACACAGACCCCAGTCTGACAGTTGGTGAACCAGCACAGGTTCAAACTAGGCCCCCTGAATATGGGTGTCAGTTTGGAGACCAGGGCACTCTATGAGACCTCTGGCAGTGGAGCCATTATTTAAATGTAGGCATGTTTGGTACAGGCAGTTTTTCCCAGTTTCCACCTGGTCCTGAAATCTCTTCATGTGATACCCACCAAAGGGCAGAGTAGACTGGGCATATGCACATATTTAAAGATGAGTATCCACGACTCACAACTACCAAAGACTTTGTGTGTCAACTGTGGTTTAATTATTTGAAAGCAATAAATATATATTATCAAGTGTAAAAATACCGAGTATGTATTATCTCTATGTACTAGAAAATCAGCCAAAGAATATGCCTTTTAAAAATATACTTTGATTGACTGCTAAGGATACTAAAAAGTTCTAGCCTGGAGCATATTCCCTGGGAGGAGGTGTTAGCGGGACATTGGGTTTCCTCCAGCTTTCTTCTGCAGAGAGAAGAGGAGTAATTTGTCTTTATTCTTCTCATTCCAGATCTCCTATCTTTCTAGCATAAAATTTGTTTCTGCCCCTGAGAGCATGAGGCAGAGTGGATATGCACATACTCTTGGAGAGAAGTAAATGGACAGAAACTAAGAACACATGTGCCAGCATGGAGATTGCTTGAAGTCTCCCACACTGCATCCAGAATCCAGGATGACCTCTTCTCTGGGCATTTCTGATCACACACCAACAATGGCTTTTCAAACAACTTCCCAAAGTAGATGTAAATATGTTTGAGAGAGGTTAGATTCTGATTTTGCTGCCAATTTCCCAAAGACTTTTCCCAGCAGCAGTTTATCAACTATAACAATGGCAGGCAATTTCTATCATATTCTTTCTGGAGCAGAGACAACCTATCTAGGGACATCTCAAAAGACATCTTCCATAGGAGGGTACAGAGCCACCCCACTAGAGACATCTGCTTTATGCGTGTACCTGATGAGATGTATTGACTTTGTCTTCTGATAGTCCATGTCAGACTTTAACCCATGAGGTGAGGATAAACACTTCAACAGAATTTGGAGGGCTGGGGAGATGGTTCGGTAGTTAAGTGGACATACTGCAATTCCTGAGGGCATGACTTTTAATTCTTAATATCCGTGTCAGGTGACTTAAAACCGCCTGTAACTCCAGCTTCAGGGGATCCAGAACTCTCTTCTGGCATCCATACATATTCACAACCATGTGGATTTACACGTGTAGACATTTGTGAATAAAAATAAGGAAGTCTTTAAAATGAGAATTTTAAATCTATGGGATTGAATCCATTTAAAACTTTAATTCTATTCCAAAACCAAGGTTCATAGATTATCTCAAACTTTCCACAGTCCTAAAGAGGACAAAGAGCAGTAAATGCTAGCAGGGATGCTGAGGGAAAAGGACCCTCAGATCTGGTGCAGCCACCATGGGAATCCATGTGGAGGTCCCTCAAAAAGCTAGAAATACAACTACCATGTGACCCAGACATACCACTCCAAGCATACACTGGAAGGGATCCACACCATCATGCTACAGAGATGCTTCCACAACCTTGTTTACAGCTTCAGTGTTCACAATAGCCAGGAGGTTGAACCGGCCTCCATGCCCACCAACAGATGAATGATGAAGAAATGTGTTACATACACAATAGTGTTTTGGTAATTAAGATAAATTCATGTCAGTTTTAGAATATGAATGGGATTCTAAATCATCAGGCTGTGAGAAATATGATAGATTCAAAATGTCTCTTTTTGAATAAACACTGTGTGTGTGGAGGGAGTGTGTGTGTGTATGTGAGTGCATGTAGTAACAGTAAGGACTATTTGGGAGGAAGAAGGAGTCAATGAATGGGAATAGAGGCTACCAGAAAAGTTAATCTGACAAAATTCAAGAAAAATGCATAATGTATTAAGATGTCAAAAAACCATTTCTTTCTTCGTAGTGGATGTAGGTTAATTCAAATGTAGAAATAAACAGTGGAAAGTAACTGTTATGCAGACAGAAATCCTCCTAACATGTGCATCCTTGTGGAGTAGGGATGATAGTTTAGAACAAGAACCATACTTTAGTTCTGCAGCCTGTGATAATGTTCTCAGCTCTTGAGTCTCAGTGGCTTTGTTTGTTAAATAAGATTGTATTATACTGAACTAAATCACTTCGAAGATGTCCTTTTAGGAATTTGTTGCTTCTCTTTAAAGAGTAATAATGTCTGCATGGAGAAAAGGCAGACTCTGCCTGTGGGTGGAGACAGTGTGGGATCTCTGCATTCTTCCTGCAATGACAGAGCATATGCACATTTAGCAGACATCAATGCTAGCTTTGATAACAAGAGGTGTTCAGTACAGAGTTTTCAGTTGCAGTTACTTAATTTTTATTCTTTGTTGTTGGTTGCATCAAACCTATTTCCCAGTTTTCCAACCTCTAAATATAGTACCGTTTCTATGGAAACATATTTTAGCATAGAGATTCCAAAAACACATTTTATTTGGAAAATAAAGATTGTCAGATTAATACATTCAAATCTGGGCTGTGACCCAGATTTTGTATTTTATGAATTAATTTTTATTTAAAAAGAGATGCTTGCAATTGGTTGAATATTGTTTCTATGTGATTTTTTTCCTGGTTGAGTTGAGCTGATAAAATTTTTACTTTCTTAGTGAGAGTCAAAATTTTGTTTTTTGTTTAAAGTTTTATTTAAATAATTAAGCAAATGGGTCTGTTACAGTTAGATTCTATTATTTTACATCTTCAAAGTAATAAGGACTGTTGAATGACTGGGCAGCAGATACCACAGGTACAGGTGATGCTTATATTTTCTAAAACAATTTGAAAATAGTCTCCATTGATGCTCAAGTGTCGGCCATAATGGTCTTGCATTATAGTCAATAACATTTTAGTTGTTTTCAGTTTCTGCCACTGAACATTGATCTTTATGACTCCAACAGCTCTGCTTTCAACTGTTGAAGGTGCGTTGGTTCCTTTTATCATTCTGTGGTATTAAATTCGCACTTGTTTTCCATTATGTTTTGATGCCTTAGGACAGCTAAAGGTGACTGTGAGGTTAAGACAGACGGTGAGACAGCTTGTGTAAGAAAATGGGACCTTTACAAGAAACAAACGCTCTGTAGAAGTTACAGCAGCAGAAGGACAGTCTTCAAGAGAATCACATGTCCAAATTGCAGCCTACTTGGGCGAAGGGAGCCTGTGAGCAATGGAACATGAAGGGACACCACCAGTGAGGAAACTGTAGAGAAAGTGTTTCCTCATACCTTTCTCATTCTGAATACTGAACATTTTGGGGCAGTATACAAAAACAGGATGAGAAACTGCACTGGAAGATCCTGATACAGTTTTCATTTTAATTTTGCAAGTAAATCATTGGGACTGAAAAGGAAAGGCTTTCCACAGAGGAGCACATTTGAATCTGTCCCATTGTAGAGATAAGTGTCCGTTTGAGCTCAGATGATTTATCACAACTCTGCATCTTGGCTGTTGGACTTCTTAAGCCTTCAGTGTAATACTTGAGCTATTCCCTCCATTCACAACCCTCCTCATGGGTCTGTCGACTGCTGTGTTAGGGTAGTCTTCGTCCCAGCAACTGCTTTTACTGCCTGCTTTGATGTAGACCAACAGATGACCACAGTGCCTGGTGCTTTTCCACCAGGACCAGTCACAACTGGAAAGGAGCAGGTAAGCACTTTTGATGGCTATGTTTGGTTTTTGGTGGGAGAAGTATCTAGATGTTTTGGTACTTGGTTTTAATGAACAAACAAGTATCCAGAATTAATTATAGACTTTTGAAGGATGATGGGGTTGTAGTCACAATGCAAAGTTTTGAGTGAAAATACAAGATGTTTCTGAGAAATACTAAAATTCAGGCTAAGTCTTGTATGTCATGTTAAATATCTTTGTGTACAGTTTAGAGGAGAAAATTATAAGATATCAGAAATTCTGTTAGGTTCTTTTGTCAGTTCATTAATTTTTAAGTTAGTACTCAAAGTAACATTTCCTTACATTTTCAATCATGTGTCTTCCTCCATCTGCTCGCCATTGTCTGCCCATCTCCCTTCTACCAAACTGTCCACCTTTTAAATGTAATAGTTTCTATTCTTCCTTTCTCTTAAACCTCTTTCTCTATTGTCACACACTCTTTTCTAATTTCATGACTTCTCATACATACACACCCACACATCGATTATTTTATGTCTAGGTTCTACTGGCTGTACATGTCTTTCTGAGTCTTTTCTTACAAATGTCCTGATTTCAGTTTTCTATACAAAAGCAATCCAAATGAATTCTTGAAGGGAGAATTATTCATTTTTTAATATATAGAGGGAAGTTTAAATACCTGTCTCATTGCAAAGTAGCTGCTTAATGGAGGGGTTATTTGTCTTTTCCCAAGTTCTCTCCTCTGCATTAGGACATGTGCACTTATGCTGTGGGACCGCACTATAATTTAGGCTTAGTTAGTTTCAAATTAATTTCAAAATTCAAATTCAAATGAATTTCATAGCTACTTTAAATTATTTTCAAACTTAAATCACATGTACTTAGATTTGAAAAAGACCAACATTTAAACACTAAGTTAGTGTTATATTTGTTTATTTTAATATCGCATAAAATACAGTTTCACATAAAGGTAGGCAAATATATTTTGAATGTATGTACTTTATACAATGCTTATTTTATTGCTATGTATCAAGATTGTTATGGAAGTTGTAATGTTTCTAAGTTGACATAGAATCTTGAGGACAATAACTATGACAGATTCAAACACATTTTAAAATACAGCTATTCTGTCCAAGAAAAATGTCATATTTGCAGAAAAAATTCCAAACTGTTTAAATTAGCATGTGAATGACTTCTCACTCACACACAGATAATTCTACTCTACCTCTCCCCAGGTGGGCAAAAGGCACATGAAAACAAACTTCAGAGCCATAGCAAGAAGTTGGAGCTGCCAAGGCCTGAAGTCTCATAATGTTAGAACAGAGGCCTTGAGAAATTATTGTCACTTTAAAAAGTGAGATATTTGTTAAATACATGTTGATGCAGTGACAGTTTTAAATATCCTAATTATGTATGGTGACAATAAAGTCAAGAACTAAAACTGCCTCTTATGATTTAATGTTAAAGAATCATGATTTTTTTAAATTATGAAGTTATCTGAAGCAAATCAGCACACTGAATGTCCAAGTGACCATCCCCAGCAGCCAGCAGAGCCTTCCTCTTTCCACAGTGAAAGCTCCTGAAGCTGCAGTGACTCAAGGCCGGCTCTCAGTCTCTAAATACAGTCCAGAGCCTTCCTCTTTCCACAGTGAAAGCTCCTGAAGCTGCAGTGACTCAAGGCCGGCTCTCAGTCTCTAAATACAGTCCAGAGCCTTCCTCTTTGCACAGTGAAAGCTCCTGAAGCTGCAGTGACTCAAGGCCGGCTCTCAGTCTCTAAATACAGTCCAGAGCCTTCCTCTTTCCACAGTGAAAGCTCCTGAAGCTGCAGTGACTCAAGGCCGGTTCTCAGTCTCTAAATACAGTCCAGAACTGCATGTATTTGCTGGATGACTGCAAGCCATCTCCATTTTATTGCCCACTTCACGATCTGCCCTTCAGACTCTAACACTGGAAAAACTTGAATAACAATCAGGCAAACCATCTTCCAACAGAATTTCACCAAAACCTAACACACCTACACATTAAAGAATCCCTGCTTAAAAGAAATAGGTCCAGGGTGTGGCATGTTCTAAGGAGCTTCTCGCTCAAAACCCATTCCTAGAAAGCAATCTCTAATGTCACCTGACATACCTTGTGTGCTATGGACATGATTTGTGTGGGTTTTCACTACATTGCTATAAATCCATTTGCCTGGAAATTGAGGGGTTGCCTTTATAAATCTGATCTGAAAGGGGCACTGGGTTTCTACTAATGCCAATTTCATTTAAATTTGGTTATTTTGTGTAACATGAATATGTTGCCTTTAAATTCTATTTATGTGCCAAGGAGAGGCTCACTGCAAGCAAGAAGACCTGACTCTAGATCCTCAGGTCCCATGTAAAAGCTAGGCATGGAGGCATTTGTCTGTAATTCCAGCACTGGGAGATGGGAGAAGGAAGGTTGTAGAGACAGACAGATTCAGATAGTCCGATAGTCAGACTATTTGAGCCAAAAAGTTCAAGTTTCAGTGAGAAACTCTGTCTGAAAAATTAATTGGAGAGTTATTGAGGAAGACAACTTGATGTTACTGACCCCCACACAGGTATACATGCACACATGTGTGAGCACACATGTACAACACACACAATTTATTACAAATACTGAGAGATTTTTTGTCCTTACATGTGCATATGAACATATCTGTTTGTAGAATGCCTAGGGACACAGTTCTTAACTTTATATTCAAACAAAATTTTTTATTTAATTTCACTCACTCTTGTCCTCTAGTTGGTTTGAATTGCTGAATGCAATCTCTAACAGTACTTCTTTTGTATGATATCAATGTTTTTAAAGAGTCCTCAAGGACTGAAAAGTTCAATATTTGTACATGAATCATAGTTTCAATATGTCAATCATAATTTGTACAACTTTTGATTTAGCAGTTTATGATCTAATTTCTTCATGACAAACCATGGGTATGATGAATGAAACCATCGTGTCAAATGTCTCAATGATAGACCAAGACCACTGTGATGCCTACTGCAGGACAACTTTGATAACAGCCTATAGTGTGGTTTTATTTGGAGGCACCATTGGAACAGTTATGATGTCACGTATGATTTTCAAAAGGAATAGCCAATCAGCGATTGCCACGATCATCATTAATATCATTGTGCTGCACTCCCTCCTCCTGATTAGTCTGCCATTCCGCCTCAGCTACTATCTGTCATCAGTCTGGAAGCTTGGATCTTTTACCTGCAGAGTGGTTAGTAGTGTCATATATGGTCATATGTACCTTACCTTTGTTTTCTATGTGGCCATTGTCACTCTTCGGTTGCTCATCTATTTTAAGAAACTCCAAATGCAACAGTTACAAAAGTTCCATGCTGTGGTTCTAAGTATTATCATTTGGATAGTAGGAAGCTTCATCTTTTTGCCAATATTTTTTTTACAGTATGGCACAGATCCAAGTTACACAGAACAACAACGCTGTTTTGAGTTTCATAGATCTCTCAACTGCACGAGTATCATCATCATAAACTATTCTACAATTGTCATTATGATGACAACAGTTCTGGTCCTCTTTCTGACACAGCTGGCTGTCATTCTTTGTTTGATAAGAGACTATTGGCCTGATATGTGGGCCCATCAAGATTACAGAGCCCAAATCAAGAGTTTCTTCTTCCTTATAGTCATAGTTGTCTGCTTTCTACCCCACCATGTATTCAGAGTATATTTCATTCAAAATTATGCAGAGGAAAAAAATTCTAAGTTAATACTTTACAATGAAATCTGTGTTGCTTTAACGACCTTCTGCTGCCTGGATATGTTGTGTTTCATAGGTGGCATCATCCATTAGACCTTCCTATGTTTTTTGTGGCTGCTTTACAGAATGCCTTGATAAAAAATATTTCAATTGAATAGGTGAGGTGCTGTTAACATCTTAAAAAACTCTGAGCTCTTTCTGTGTTCCTCAACATCAAATTTTTAGATTTTTTCTTAGCCAGAACTGTTTTCCTAAAAAACGTAACCCTAGTCACCTCCATTTTCCTTTAATAATGCTTACAGGGTCCAAATGTATTACAGAATATGTTATATTTCTTAGCATTATAATAGTTAAACACACAATTCCTTCGTTTTGCCATTTCATGCAGTATTCACTTCAGTCAAGCATACCTACTGGTTCTTCCAGTACTCCTGAGGCATTTACTATACCAAGTTTTGTTCTGAATGTATTTACTGCCCCCACTCCCAATTCCTGTCCACCAAGTTCTGGAGAACCCATAGATGGGAACTCTACAGCTGAATAGTGCTCTAAATAATCTTAATTTATTCAACTTAACTATTTCATGCTGATATTGGTTTCATGAGGGGATCATTAGCTTGGGTAGAGTGGTCAAGAGAGTTAGAAGAATCTCTTCCAAGAGACTGGGCATTAATGTAATTCATTCTGATCAAGGCACCGTAGGGACTTGGAAGGCAGAGGTTACCACCTGATCAACCTTCAGTACAACAGCAGTAAAAGACAGTGGAAAAGGCATCAAGAAACTGGACCCAGGTTGAGCTTGCCAATAGACTATTTGGGCACACATTTTTGAGGCCATGGAAAGTTTTTTATGGTTTTCCAAGCTACCCTACACATCCAAGAACCATCATATAATAAAAGGACCACTGGTGTCTGCCACACTCAATAACAGGAATCAAAATAACTAACTTGGATTCTGTTTATATTATATAGAAACTAACATGTACTTATACTTCACTTACAATAATGCATCCTTGAAAACTGTATTTAATTAATACTATAATCAATGCTCTAATGGCTAATAGGTGAAAATAGTTAATACAAATGAATTTTGGACTTGGTGTGTGTATAGGGAATCTAACTGTATTTAATAATCATTGACTTTGGGGTCACATATTTACAATCCTCCCCATGGATTCTTTGATAAAAAGGAACATGTAATATGTAGGATTCAAGTAGTAGTTCTTACTTCTCTAATTCAGTGACATCATTTAGAATACAATTTTAAGATAGGGCTGTTATGATTTGATTGATATTGGAGCATACACTGAAAAAACTTGTTTATTGAAAGCTTTGTCCCCATATTGGTGTTCTGGAATCTTTGGAAAGCAAAACCCACATAGAGGAAGTAGATCAAAGGTTCTTTCTCTCTCAATTTATGCTTCTTGTATTACCACATATGAAGATGGTTCTTTGCCACATACCTCCTTCTTCAATAATATTTTGCTCAAATGCATGGTGTCAAACTATGAGTTAAAGTAAATCCTCCAGAAAACAAACTCATTGTTGTTTCTATGCCTGACCATATGGTTTTCTGAGCCTTTGGAACTGATTTGTGGGTGGAATTTTGAAGAACTGGAGAATATAGTCATGGAGTTTCTGAAATGCTACTTCGGAAGAATTAGGAAAATGTAGGTTAGAGAGAGTCTGAAATGTTATAAGTATAGTTTAATGGCTGGTTCTGTGGGAGCTTGGAAGACCAAAATGCTATTGGAGATACTGGCTTTTAGGAACAGGCCTATGAAGTTTCAGGTGACAGTAGGAACTCCCTGGGAATTGCATCTGATGCCATCTGTACTAGTTATGACAAAGCCTCCATTCTGTCTGTATCTTGAAATTATATGCCGGACTGTTTAAAGATGACAGACTAATGAATTTGGTGGATAAAATGCCAAGGCAGTATAGCATTCAGGTGAAGGCATGTTTTTTTCCCTGGATGCTTTTACTTAGATTACAATGAATATTGACTTTGTAAGCCTTCAGCAGCATATGTTGAATAGTCAGAGGCAAGGGGATCACAAGTTCAAGGTCAGTATGACCTACACCCTAAAAAGGGCTGGAAAAGATGGCTCAGTAGGTATAGGTGCTGCTCCAAAGTCTGACCATCTGAGCTTGATCCTCAGAACCTACATGGTAGAAGGAGAGAACTGACTTCCATCAGTTACATGTTTTTGCCCCTCCCACACTCACATGGGTGCATACACACACACACACACACACACACACACACACACACACACACACACACCACATGTAGGAATCAGCTCTATTTTTCCACCATATCGGTTCCAGGGATCCAACTCAGCTTGTTAGGTCTGACATCATGTACCTTTACTCACTGAACCATCTGGTCAGCCTTTAACTTGAGATTTTGAACATTGTTGGAGCTGTGAAGACTTTGGGACTTCTTGAAGATGGGCAGGATACATTTTGCATTGTGATAGGGGGAAAAGACTTTTGGGGGGCAGAAAAAGATATTATGGCTAAGATATGAAGTATTTCCTTTTGAAAAACCTTATATACTAAGAGACCTGGCCTCCATTTGTTGAAATTCTGGAAACTTGGGGCAATAGGACCAAGCTGGAGGAACTAGGTTACTGGGTGTGATTTCTCAAGGATATAGCACTACTGCCCTCCTCTTTTTGTTTGTTAATAAGGAAAGACACATCCTTGCTGTGTGCCCCTGCACCCAAATTGTCATCCCAAGTGCATTGGGCCAAAAGATGATGGAGAATTTGCTTAACCTAAGAACCAAAATAAACATTTCATCCCTTAAGTTATTGTATTGGGTATTGGTCACAATGATGCAAAAGTAATATTAACATAAGACCAAAATTCCACACACTTGAAATCTTATTGGTCAATGTTTATCTCCTGCTTTACTATTAAATCCATTATTAAATCAAGATATAAGTATTGCTTATTTTTGCCCATAAAACTTGTCGTTATTGCCGGGCATTGGTGGCACACGCCTTTAATCCCAGCACTCTGGAGGCAGAGGCAGGCGGATCTCTGTGAGTTTGAGACCAGCCTAGTCTACAGAGCGAGTTCCAGGACAGCCTCCAAAGCCACAGAGAAACCCTGTCTCGAAAAATCAAAAAAAGCTTGTCGTTATTAACAATATAATAATCAATTAAACTTCAAAAATATGCTCCAAATGTTTCATAATTTTCTTACAAACAAGGTAAGAATCAGTGTGCTTAAATTATACTTTATTACTTTTTGAAAATTGATGTTTCTTCACAACAGTTGCAATTGATTTAGTTGGTATTCAACTGACAAATATGCTAATTTCCATGACCATTTTTAATATGTAGACAGCCTCTCAGAGGGATGCTAATGACTGCTATCTATAAATAGTCATATCACTGTACAAGCCCTTCAACCTTCTCTGTTGACTTGTAAATACAGTAGACATCATAAAGTATATCACTTCCCATGACAGCTCATGAAGAGGCTGTGGCTTCCATTTTGGACTCTCTTTCTCAACTGGATTAATTTCTTCTGGACTAAGTCATGCTATGCCACAGGTCCGTGGAAAAATGCACAAGGCAAATAACTGAAAAATCTTCTTAGCAGCCCTGTGAGTAAGCCTGGTTGTGAACTATTTACCATTAAACCTTGAAGTAACTGCCCACTGGGATGGCACATTCATTGTTGCTTCATGAGAGATGCCAAGACAGAACATGTCAGTTAAAACACTTCTAGATTCTTGTATGAAACTGTAAACAGTTCATTTGGTCACTATGTCTTGGGTTATGTGCAATGTTAACCACATATATTAATATGCATGTACATCCATGCGTACATAATACATACATACATTTCCATGTAAGGCACTGCATCTGAGTTTTATAACCCACTTGTTAGTCTCTGCCTGTACTAGTTGCTGTTAATAACAAACACATCATTGTCTCTTCTCCAAGATAATAAAAACTGTGTCTGTTATTGCATCAGAAATTTGAATTGTAGGGGTGTAAAACTATGTCAGTATATGAAAACATCTTGGTGCTTTAAGGCAGAATGCAAGGAGAACAACTGGGGATTGGATAAGACCTGTTAGTCATGCCTAAGAGTAAACCATTAGGTCTCTATGTATGGCCTTTGAATCACTATCAGTTATAGTATCTGGGGCTTGTGTCTTAGTCTGTTTTGTGTTGCTATACAAAATACACTTACAAAATAAACAAATAGAATTGTTAGAGACAATGAAGTATTCTATTCTTGATTAATTTGTTATGCAGCAACAGATAATTACCATATATTTAATTTAAAAATTTGATGTCATACATCTAATTTAATTGTTGGCTAAATGGGGCCCCACAGGAATTCCAAAATAACCCAGGCTGTTGTCAAAACTAAAGATTGCTCTCCACAAATTGACAACAAGACCCCAATGTTGAGGACACCTACACAATTTAAAGATGAAGGTGTCAGGTTGGTGCCTACATTAGGGCAGGTCTCATGTTCAGGAGTAGTTGGCCAACATATCCTTGGAATTCAGAGGTTTTCTGTGTGTATTTTTATTTGGTTACAGTTCAGTGTCTTGTTTTTGGTTTTGACTTGGTTTCATTTTGTTGGTTTTGGAGGTTTACTGTTATATTGGGTTTTGGGGTTTTTATTTTGAGAAAGAACTTAAAGTCAGATGGATAGGGAGGGGGAGAGGATCTTAAAGGATTTGGGGAAGGGAAACAACATGATCAAAATGTATTTGAATTTGACAATTGTCTTAAATAATGAAACATATATTAATAATACCAAAAATTAAAAGACACAATTTTATTAATTCACTTGATTAAATATTTTCACTTGAAGATATAACCAACATAAAATTATCCATGAGATATTTTATAATCTTTTATTCATTTACACTAAAGTCTTCCAAGTTTGTGTGTTTAATGATTATAGCATATTCCTAACTTAGTACCTATATTTCAGTATCGAAGTTGACTCTTGCTTAATGGATAGAACACTGGTACAATTTCTCTACAGAAAGTTTGTTTCCATCTTTTTTGGTGCTTATTCAGTGCAAAATTGAACCTATGTCAGATAGTTGAGATAAAACTAACAAGGTTATACATGATACAAACAGCAATGTCTAACATATCCTAAAGGCCAAGTGTAGTGTGATAGATTTTGTTCTTTGGATCCTAATTGGTTTATATTGCTGTGATATAACACTGACAAAAACAGCTAGTAGAGGGAAAGGGGTTATTTGGCTTACACTGACACATCAGAGTCCATCACTGAAGGAAATCAATGCAGGGGCTTCCACACCAATTGATTTCATTCATTGGTATGTGGCCTGCTCCACAATAAGGATTTCATACCTGGTACTGTACTATAACCTCTAGAAGCCAATGGCTGGGGAGATCGTAGGCTCTAGAGAAATCTAATATTGTTTTGTTAAATGATCATTCTGTTAAATTGCTTTCTAATTATTTGGTTATAGTCATAGATTTTGAAGAAGCTTCTTTTTGCAGTCAGTAGTGGTTAGTGAAGAAACTCAAACTTGTCAAAGTGTCAAATATAAATAGCTGTTAGTGCTCAGCTGTAGACTGGGATGTCTTTATCAACTTCCCTCTAATCAAGTCTCAAGGAACATCTCAAAAGATGGGGGAGACTCAAAGGTGCAGAAAACATACTCAACAAAATAAGAAGGGGGAGAAATGATTTAAGAACTATGGCTATGGAGGAAAGCTATGAAATATTGACTACTTCTGGATGTGATACAACTATTATACACATCAACTCTCAGCAACTACTGTTACCTGAAAAAAAATATGCACATGATCAAGGTAGTCAAAACCCCAGTATGAGTGGAATGTGGGTTTTCAGGGCTTCACCCTTGATGGATGAGGTGTTGGCAGTTGACCTCTGGCTGCTAAGGGAGGAAGAGCTACTCTTCTTTAGAGACATGGCTGTTGCTACATGGCTCACATTGTATTGGATGACCCCATACCTGTGTACATATGGGCATCACTAATTGGACTCACTGTGTTATTATTTATAACAACAGAAAGAACGGCATGAATTTGAAAGGCAGTTAGGTCAGGGACATTAGAGGAATTTGGAGGGAAGTAGTGGTATATGAATAATGTCAGTATGAAATTTTCAAAGAATAAATTCAAAGATTAAAATGCATGTGTGTGTGTGTTTGAAATGTTTTCCTCACTTGAGGTGATAATATTCACCCCAAAATCCATAGACTGCCTAAAAATTCTCTAGTGCCTGTCAAGAGCTCTTCCCTTATAGTTGTTGGTCAGAGGAGATCCAAGAGACTCAAAAACAACACACACTTTGGTTGTTTTCCCTGGCTGCCTCCCAGAATTGAAGGTAAGATCTTATTGTTGAAGATACTATACACTTTGGACACGGGACTTAGAGGAATCAAAGTGGTACTGACTTAGAAGCTCCTCCCTGAGGACTTTCCTGTGGTATTGAATCGTGCTAGGCAAGCTGCTAAGGGGAAAATGTAGTGAGCAGTCATACCCAGCCATAAAGACTCTGAACCACAAGGACCAGCCCAGTAAGGTATTCGTAATGGTGTGATAATGGTGCTTTGACTTCTGGGTAACCAACAACTGTCTAACTGGACTTCAATCCTGCCCAATAGGAGGAAAATCATGCTCATGACTATTCTAAATCCATCAAGAACCTGTGACTGGAGTGATCGTATAACCCGAGTAAGCCACTGCCAGTTTCCTAATCAATATGACTGCCATGTACGTTGTAAATACTTGTCCTCATCAATGAAACTTCTTTTTGCAACAGATGGGACTACTATAAAGATTCACAAATGTTCAAAATGCAAAGAATAAGTAACAATGTGGTTCAAAATCCCAACTGGTTCATCTATAACACAGCCCTTACACTTAAGACTCAGAGAACATCAGACATGGAAAAATTGTAAAAGCCAGAAAGACTGCAGGGAGCTGGTGCCTTCTAGACAAGACAACGGTGCTGTATTCATACAATTTTAACAACATGTTTGCTTGTATATGACAAATTCCATGACCACATCAGTCACAACATGCCAATTTTGATAGGGGGATTAGGTTTCCTATGGTCCTAACCTTAGAAGAAGAGCGACAGTCAGTCAGATGCGTCCAGGTAGACAGAATTGCTTTTCTTCAGTATCAAGACCCTAGGTATGTTTTCCAACCCTAAGAACAAAACCCTAAACACATGTACACATGGTCAACACTAATTGGATTCTGTCAGCTATACATTATATATGCATGCAGGCACACCTGAGCACACACGCGTGTGTGTGTGTAAAAATACTGATTATAAAAAAGTTCACAAGTCTGAGAGGAGTTCTTGAGAAGGACACAGGAGGATTTGGAGTTAGAAGCAAGAATTTTATAAAGAAAAGGAGTGTCAGTAACCGCTAGCTTATGATTCACAGAAGGAACCTGATGAACACTTCCCCTTTCTAAACTCCTTGGCTAAGCTCCAAAGCTTGGCCCAGGAGTCTCATAAGCTTGTTTTTCAGAATCGTCAGCTTTTGACCTTCATCCCATGGGCAGAATCTCAGCCAGTCTCTTGATATGTGTGCTTTAATATATCAGATTATGAATCTTCTACCCTTTGGTGTTGTTCCTTTCCTCTATGCCATCTTCTGGCACCCTTTCTGCCCTGCCTTGCTCTGTGCAGTAGGCTGGCCTCCATGACTGTCTTAAGGGCTTTTTGCTATCTGGAATCTTGTTGGATTTGATCACTGTCAGGAGGTGCCATCTAGTGGGAGGAGGGAGAGTGAGAGTTCTTCCCTTCCTGATCATTGCAGTTCATCTGCTGCCATATAGAAAACTGCTTCTGCTGGCGACCTGGCGTTTGTCAGTTTCTTTTACCACTGTGTTTTGTATTGCCTCTTCAGATTAGGTGGTGCTAATCTCTGGGTACACCATGTCCGTTGATGACTTCCCTATTCTTGCTCACATTGCAGCATCTGCAAGTTCATCCATCCAGTTTCACTATTAATACAATCTGCATTCTACTTCTTTTGGAATGCTACAGAGCTTAAACCTATACCTTAAACAGAAGGAGTAGAAAAACAGGCCCCACCCTCTTCATCTGTACATGGTCTTTCACTTGTAGTGAAGGAAAAGCTTTTGTGAATGCCACTTTTAAACAACAGGGCAGAGAGAGGAGGTTGAGGTTTGGGTGGAAACAAGCTCTTGGTAATAGATAAAAGATAAATGTGGTTTTTTATGCCTGCCTTGAAGAGGACTCACTTGCTTCTTCCCTTTCCCCACGGTCCAAGACTATGTAAGTCATCAGTTCTGCTGCAAACTCCAGAGTACTGAAGAATTTAGCAGGGAGTTCTGAGTTGTAACTAACATGTCCTCTCTCCTCTCTCAATTTCTTTCTTTCTAACAAATACAGGAAATGCATAAAAAAATTTTTGCCAGAATTTTACTGTAAAAACTGCATCTATTTTATAATTCATTTAAGCTCATCTTTCTTAAATTTCCATCTTCTTAGTTTTGAATACTAAGTATCCATACATAGCTTAGTTCATGCATTTAGCACTATTTCCCTCTTTACACTACTACTATTACAAAGGGTAATTTTAAATTACACTTGAAGAACAATCTTATAACTCATTTTGGTTTTGAAGAAGGCTAAGCAA